ATATGGCAGTTGTTATCAGATAGTTCGTTTCTATGTATGTTGGCGGTTTTTTTTTCACTTCAGTGTTACTGACGTTCCGTTGTTTTCCTCTTATAGTTGATGTGTTTCCCTCGGGTTTAGTTTGTAACCCGGATTTGTTTCCTCTCAATCGATTTATGACTTTTGAACAGCGGTATTCTACTGTTGCCTTAATTAACAAAGTGTCTCTCACCAATCATGACTGCTCTTATAGTTTCTGAAGGCATACTACATGCAAAACAACAAAAGAAAAAATTATATCTAGTAACCATTGACGCCAAAAGGCCTTTGATGTTGTAAATTATATGACTCTACTAGAAAAATTATAATATGTAGTACCAGCAGATGTCTAGAAAGTAATTCAAAATCTGTATTCTAATATGTCAACAGCAATTATATGCATGATTGTATGATATTGCATACTAATATTTTGTAAACCTAGGTATAATATCCATCCGCAAAAACACGCTCTTATAAAAACTGAAAGAATCAAGTCAAAAGGTCAATCGGAAAATATCAGACTAGGAAATGAAGTAATACAAATTGACAACCAAGCGACACATTTGCTCCATAGCCGAAATTATCTGCAAAGCAAGGTAAAATTTTGCTCCTTAATCTTACTCAACAAAGCAGCTATATATCAAGGTATAAATCGCTCCATACAACAAAAATATGGCCATTTCGGACCAAAATCAAGAAATGGCGGTAGCCAAGTCAAAGTGAAGTAACAGATCTAAAACACAGTTGACCTCATTACAAGAAGATCAAAATACTAGAAAAAATGCCTCTACTCAGTTTTAATGGAAGGAATGCTCTACAGAAAAAGATTGACAACTGTAACTCCAAACATATAGATGTCAACATTAAACCAGGAAATAACGTTGTGATAGCCTTAAGTTCTGCAGCATATGAACTTTTTAGGGTTGAAGTGAAGAAAACAAATTTAACAACTCTCAGTTCACTTCTAATTAGAGGGTGACCCATGAAGGTGTTTATGATGAATAAGGACATATAATAGAAGATAACTATAAGATATACAAGAAAAAGTTGGATGGTACTTTAGGGAAAATCTCAAAATGTACAATCATATCATATAGAACTACAAGCAGAATACTAGCAAATAGATCTGAAATAAATATATTCCTACAGCATATACTACCAAGCATACAAGAATATATCAACACCTGCTCTATTAGATGTGGTGAATACAGGTAGGGCGGAAACGATGAAAATGATATAAAAAGATAGAAATCAGACATCTGAAAATACCGTATGCACAGAACTGATAAAACCACCAAATAAATACACAAAAGATAAGCAAAGTTCAACCATTCAGTCGAGATATGAAAATGCAGGATGATATTATCATATGTCTATGTCCCATATGAAAAGAAAAATCTCAAGAAAACAACATTGCTTGTGATGAATGCAATGAGTGGTATCATTACAGCTGCCTAAGACTAACAACAACTAAAGTAATCGAATGGACCCAGATACTCCATATATCATGGAAATAAAACAGTCTGTATAACCTCACTGGAACAACGTATCAAGAAAAAAGACCAGACCATTGATCTTCTGAAACGAAATAGGGAACTGCTGCAAAACAAATGACCATCCGAATATGGAAGAAACACAACAACAGCAGTAGACCCTAACCCATGTAGATGTAAAAACTCAGACACTGTACAAATGAGAAGAGAAATTGAGTCACAGACAAGAAATGCAAAGCCAACTGCTTGAACTGAGAGTGAAACTGGTGGAACAACAAATGATCCAATGCATATGCCTAAATAATGCAATCACATCACAAATAATGCTATAATTCCATAAAAGCGTGACGAATTAAAATGACAACAACCATAGTACAAGGGAAGACAACCCAACGGATCAGTTGATTAGATATAGAATACGCAAAAGACGGGACTCCAAAAAAAAACTTTCAAGAAACAGACTATAAATCCAGAAGAATAGTTTTTATTAGACAACATAAATGATCAACTACCTTTTCCAAGGCAAGGAAATGATCAAGTACATCAAAACCACCTGTACAACACATTTAGGAATCATACGAGAGGCCAAAAACGAATTAAGAAGAAATATACAAGAACATTTAAGTATTGCTAGAAAGACTCTGTATTCGTTAATTCCAGTGAGACTAAATGGAAATTAAACACAAAAATAACATACAAGGTCTATCAAGGCTACTATATGGCCTACAAAAGATCCTACAATATTATAATCTAATGCCAATTCACGAGCTGATAAAAAGCCTCCCAAAAAAATTTCAATTCAAGAAACAAATCAACACAGCCGTAGGCGATAAATGGACAAGTAAACTTCAAGCCGAAATGAAAGAAAAAACTACCATTAAATTCTGTAATAAAACAGAGCTCAAAATACATCAGTATAAAAGAGGGACGAAATACACCAGAGGGAAAGCCAAACTCACAGTTCGAAAACAAACCGACAACGTCATGGCCAAAAACAAAAAGATAAACAGACAAACAACAGCACAGATGACACAATATAGAAAACTAAAGACCAAGCAACACGAACCCCACCAAAAACTGGGGGTGATCTCAGGTGCTCCGGGAGGGTAAGAAGATCCTGCTCCACTGTGGCACCCGTCGTGTTGCTTATGTTAATACAAATCCGGTAAGTAGTCTAATAAGTTGTACTCTGTTGCATCTGGAAATAGAAACTTTAGAACACTTTTTACTCTGCCGCCCAGCTCTTAATGAAAAAAGGCAAAACATTATTCCAGAGCTGAAACAACTCATCATACACTCTGTAGGATACATCAAATGGAATTAAATATTCGAAGGGAACCAGACATCAATTATCTAAATAATTATAGACTGCACAACACTGGCTTAAGAAATGAACTTTAGTTCTGACACTGCAATTCAAATAAAAAAACTCAGTAGAGATCTCTGCTATGGACTCCATACTCAGATATTGTTGATGAAAAAGAAGATTAAGACTATATAAAGTGGTGTAAACCAAATGGGCACAAAGTCTTCTGGCTATATATTTTATTTAATTTTGTTTTTCTAATTTTACTAAATATAATATTTAATTTACTTACAAGATAAGGGTTGAGAATCCTACTTAAGGTCTGGGCCACAGAATGAGGACACTATCAAGTATAAACTCGCAAAAGTTACTATTTTTACAATTAGCCATAATAATTTTAGGTTTTGAGTTACTTTTAAATTTTAAGTTTTATTATCCGAAAGAGGATCAATGCTTCTTTTTATCTAATGTTTCTTTTATTTTCTTTTTTAAACTATGTCTAAGTCTATCCCAAGGATAATATCGGAATGCAAGTAGTATTTGCCATTGATCAGTAATAATGGAAACTATATACAATGTGGTGGTGGTATGCCGTAAATACTACACGGACGTTCTTAAGAATGAAATTTTAAATTCTTCTTCATTCAAGTCCGTTCGCTCCACAGAGAGTCACATAGTTAACAATCATAACCACATCGCAGCTAAAGGCCTCTTCAGAACATTTGAAGGTCCCTACTATGTATTGGTTACCTAAACTACACAAAAAACCAGTTAAATATCGTTTCATCTAGGCCTCTAGTAAGTGTTCTATAACTAATCTTTCAGTGCTTTTAACTAGCTCCTTAACTACTATGAAAGAACTTATCATTAACTTTTGTAATAAAACATATGAAAATAGTAATATTAACTATTTTTGGAGTGTAAAAATTTTTTTGGTGTTTTAGATAAATTACGTGCCATTGCTGGTCTTTTTGATTCTGTTGACAGTTTTGACTTTTCAACTCTTTACACTACACTTCCATACAATCTTATCTAACAAAAGTTTTCCAATTTAATTAAATGGGATTTTGGTAAATCTGAATGCAAATATATTTGCTGCAACTCATCTAAAGCCTTCTCTCTAATGAGAAAGGTAAATATGCTATATATATTACTTGAGGTGTGATGAGATGATTGAAGCTGTTAATTGTCTCCTTGATAATATTTATATACGTTTCGGCAATAAAGTTTATCGACAGGTTGTATGTATCCTATGGACATCAATTGCGCCCCTTTAATAGTAGACTTGTTCGTGTACTGCTATGAACCACAGTGTATGGCCAAATTGATAAATTCAACAACACTTATCGTTATCTTGATGATAATTGTTCGTTAAATAATCAAGAATTTTCTAAATATACTGCCGAAATTTACCCAAAGGAACTTACTTTAAATAAAATAAATATAAACGGTAATAACTGTCCTTTCCTAGATTTAGATATTTCAGTTTTACACGGGAAACTCTACACTAAAATTTACGACAAAAGGGACGATTTTTAGTTCCCTATTGTTAATTTTCCTTTTTTGGACGGTGATGTTCCTTTGGCACCATCTTACGGAGTTTATATATCAAAACTCGTTCGCTATGCCCGTGTCTGTTATGACGTTTTTGATTTCTATGAACGTAATCTATATACTACTGGTGAATCATTAGGTCATGGATTTCGTTACCACAAATTGCTTAAAACCTTTACTAAATTCTTCCATAGATATAAAGATTTGAAAGATAAATGAAGATTTGGATAGCACATTCCAATTCTTACGGAGATGTTGTTTACCGAGCCCGGAAATTTAGATACGATCCGGGTAAACTTATCGATCCTTTAAATAAACATATTCTAAAATGTTACCAATTTAACACTATAATTAGATCTTTGAATATTGTTTTTATTGGTATTAACATTGATTTTGTTATCAGTAAATCAAAATCAAACTAAATATTGTTTTTATATACATATGCACATTCTTGGCCCTACAACCTGTCAATACCTGTCATGTTAATGGCGTCTTTACACTAAATCCATTGGATGTTGGATACGTACTGATTGATGTTTTAGTCGTAGATGCATGATTTTTTTTATTAGTTGTTATTGGCTTTGAACTAGCTTTCAGTAACTGCGAGTACTCTCAGATCTGTACTTGATGTCTTTTTGTTGTGGGGAAGTCCAGGTACCCTGCCACGTCCACTCTGGGTTTTTTTTTGTTTTTGTTAGATGTATATCTACTTTGTATCCATCTGATGAGTTAAGCCCTTTTCAACTGATTTTTATAGTTTGTTCTTATGTTGTACTGTTTCACCACTGTCGCAGGTGCGGGGTAGGGTTAGGGCCTTCAAACTAGTATAACCCCGCCACGTTCTGTATGTGCCTGTCCCAAATCATGGGCCTGTAATTCAGTGGTTGTCGTATGTTGCTGTATATTATATTTGTTTTTCGTTCATTATTTTGAACACAAATCAGGCCGTTAGTTTTCTCGTTTGAATTGTTTTACATTTATCATTTTGGGGCCTTTTATAGCTCACTATGCGGTAAGGGTTTTACTCATTCTTGAAGGCCATACAGTGAACTATAGTTGTTAATTTCTGTGTCTTTTGGTCTCTTGTTGAGAGTTGTCTCGTTGGCAATCATACCACATCTTCTTGTTTTTACATGTAATTAATGCATGAAAAGAACACTGTTGTAAATATTCCCACTATAAATTTTGAGTACAAATTATACTTATTTTTATTCTTTTAACACTGTTTAAAGTACCTGACCATAACGAAGGTCTCATATTACCGTATAATAAACAGATAAATTATGGCCCGCTGTAAATATATCCCCTTACCACTTTTATTTAAAAATGAATTTTAATATTTAAAGGGTAAGATAAGGTTTTTACATTTTACTACCGTGTTACACGGGTGCTTCGATGCGGATGAATTTACGAAGAAAAGAAAAAAAGATGTACATATAAGTATGCTAAAACATAGTAAACATTTTTAACAACGAACAAAACTTGTTTAAAAGTAAGTTTCCTTACATATTATTGTCAGTTCTTAATATTAGTAATATATATTTAAAAACAGCACAAATTGAATGTTTGGGTTTATATAAACAGCTAGACCATTCTAGACCGAATGACGATTTAATAGATTTTTAGTAGGATTATTGAGAAAAAGCTATTCACATTTGTCTTATGTGTCTTCATGTTCACTTGTCGAAGTGTTGCTGGAACAATAGTTTCTCAGATTTATACACTTTATAATAAGAGTCTCAAACAAGAACTTATAAATCAAAATAATATGTCTTAATTTTATAAATACCTTTAATGTATTGCATTTGTGATTAATCATTGAATCCTCTTTAAAATTCATGCCAATATTTCATATTACCCAGTATTGCCCAGTATTAACCCTGAACTAGACTGTAATATAACATTCTTGTTTTTTTTCTTTTGTAGTATTATGGAGTGTCCGTTCATTCAGTTAATGTGTTTCATTTTGCTAACTTGGGTGCTTTGCACAGTTGCAAAACCAACAGCATACGTTGGGTCATACAACCTCAACTTCAAAAGTTTAAAATTTGAAACAAAATCATACACATGGAAAAAAACTTCACAAACATCTCCCTTTGACGTAAACAAGCATCAATTCTTTACTGTGCCTGCTGGTGGAATGTTGAAAGCAGAATTATCACTAACGACTAGAAGCAAGCATAGGAAACTGAGGACCGCCGCTTGTATTACCCTAATACGCACGAATAAGAAAACCTGTCAAAAAATATCTGGTATACCAGGAAAAAGAAAAGAGTTCATCGGTCAGTTAATTCTTCATGAAGTGTTTAAAGTGGAGAAATATGATCAACTTGAAGTGGCAATTGTACGTGGGAAAAAATACATCTACAAAGTCGCCGAATACAATCGCCTTAGGTTATATTATCTTTAGAAGTACAGGAAGACAAATAATATTTTGTGAAAATTCCATAGAATTTTAGATATATTAAATACTAAACTGGTATCTTATTTTCAATTTTCTTAATACGTAATTAACGTTTTTGCACTACAAAACAACAGTTTACATAACGCAATGTCTATTTCTGGTTATTTTGCATCAACTCAAATTTCTACAACCGGTCCTCTAGGAAGAAAACATACACATATACTATTTAACATGTATTTTTTACGCCAATTGTTCCAATCAAAATCAATCTTAGTATAAATTATTCACCAACCAACGAATCGCTATAAGATGTTTTTATTTTGAATCCCCAATAACCCCGACATTCTAAAAAATTATCATTCCCAATAAAAATAATAAAAATGCTAGAAAAACCCCTACAAAACCATAACCCCCTAAAATTTGAATGATATTAATGTCATGGGCATAGCACGAATAAACTTGTTTCCGGTATAAAAAGCCACATAAATAAAGCATTTGAGAGAATACAATTCAAATAGAATTAAACAGAACAGTCTTTGAAATACCTACAGGTTAGCCAACTTAAAAAAATCCCCTAAGGACAAACTTTGGCCTAACTGTACTCGTCTTGAGTAATCTTTTCAAAATAGCTTTTAAAAATCCAATATAAAAATATATACTATGAATATTAAGTTGATGATTAATTAATTATTATTCATATAAATATTTCAAGAAAAAAATAAATCTTCGATACTGATAATTGCAAATTAGATTTACAACATCAAATTCATAGTCAGTGAATAAAAATAAACTCTAATAAGTGTTTTCGCTGTTATGTATATCAATAGATGTCATGACTATATATTGCTTTTAAATAATATCGGATTGTTAAGGCTGTTCGTGCTTTCTCAGGAATTGTTTTTAAGTCTCGATTACAAAAAGACAACAACTGATCAGCTACTTCAATATGACATCGTTCTAAATATGCATAAATATTTGTCTGTGGACATATTAAAACAATATATTTTAGTCTTAGATGCATAATTTTTTTTAATAGTTGTGATTAGCTTTGAACTATCTGTCAGTAACTTGCGAGTACAGACGTCACCATGGACACGGTGTCGTCTGATAAGGCAGGTGACACCTCATCACCAGATATGACAAATATCCCAATATGACTCATTCAGATCATCATACTAGTGACAATAGCAATAGAACACATACACAGCCGTGTTCAGTTCTCCTTAAAGACATTTTGGATTTTGATGACTCTGATCAACACTGTCTCATTTCGAAATATGAAACAAATGGCTGCAAAACTTGTAAAATTTTAATGACAGATGCTCAATTCACTAGCAATTTAACTTTAAAGTACGGCCTTCATCAATGAGAATAATCCATACCGTATAGTCGGTTATAAAAGGCCCCGACATGAAAAATATGAAACAATTCAATTGAGAAAACTAACGGCATAATTTATAACAAAACAATTTACGAAAAACAAATATGACAGACATGAACGAACGACAACCATTCATTGAACTACAGGCTCCTGACCTGGAACAGGCACATAAAGAATGTGGCGGGGTTAAACATGTTTGTGAGCGCCCAACCCTCCCTTAATCTGGGACAGTGGTGTAACAGCACAACATAAGTCCAAACTGCCGTTTTTATCAACAAACTTTATTTCTATTGAAAAACAAATAAAAGTCCTATTCAAACCTAGAAATATCATTTTACAAATTAAGAAATTTGTAATTTTATAGTTACGATTTAGAATGAAGAATTTAACTGAACAAAGAAAGAATATCATTTCACTAATAAAGAAAGTAACGAACGAAGAAAATACGAACAAATTGCATTTACACATTAAGTTACATTTCACAAATCAAGAAATGTAGAAATGCATGTAACGGATGGAAAAAATACATGTTACAAATTAAGAAATTACATTTTACAAATTGAGAAATTGCATTTTACAAATTAAAAATTGCATTTTTACAAATTAGGAAATGTATAATTATGGCTGACATGGCAGGGTATCTATACATACCCACAACAAAATAGATACTAAGTACAGCTCTGAGAGAGGGACGAAAGATACCAGAGGGACAGTCAAACTCCTAGATCGAAAACAAACTGACAACGCCATGGCCAAAACTAAAAAGACAAACAGACAAATAATAGTACAGATGACAAAACATAGAAAACTAAAGACTTAGCTACACGAACCCCACCAAATACTGGGGGGGAGGGGGGTCTCAGGTGCTCCGGAAGGGTAAGCAGATCCTGCTCCACACGTGGCACCCGTCGTGTTGCTTATGTTATTACAAATCCGGTAAATAGTCTAATTCGGTAGGTCACATTCGTGAAAAGGGAAGAGTATTGTAGTTACGACATAAGGAACATATCATCTATCATCTGTGAAACGGTTATTCCATAACGGTCAACCAACTCGTGATCGCGTCCGTAAAATTTACAAAGGAATGATTTCAACTTCACCATTTGGAACTCTTGGTTTAATAGCTTCCTTGTGAGCAGCAATCCTCTATCAAGGAAATCATGATAGGAAATACAAGCCCGTATCAATTGGGAGATATCTACTCCATATGGAGGCGCTGCTGGAATGTTGCTACATAGAAATGGAAAATTCACAATTGGGAAGCTGAAATCATCGATTTTGTCGTAAAGTTTTATTTTCAACCGACCCTCATTGTCAATTTCTAGATGTAAGTCATGATATGAGGCAGACTTAACTGTATCTGTAGTATCCTTTATCTCTAGTTTGATGGGATAGATTCGTTCACATAGTCACCAAATTTTGTATCATTTAGTGAGAGAACATCATCTATATTGCGGTACGTAAAGTTAAAGGATATTGCTAACTTCTTATCTTTCTTCCTAAGAAGTTCCTGTATGAAGTCAGCCTCATAATAATAAAGAAACAAGTTGGCAAGAAGAGGGCACAATTGGTTCCCATTGGAATTCCGACAGTCTGTTGAAAAACACATTCTCCAAACGTAATAAATATGTTGTCAATCAAGAAATCAAGCATCTTGATAATGTCAGTTTCAGAGAATTATTTGTTTGAATCAGAGTGATTCTTTACAAAGTAGGATTTATCCCTCCCCAAGACAAGATACTTGTATCTACATTCGCCATTCTTTTTAATGAAACAAAGTAATACCAACTCTTTCAATTTGTCTTTTAGTTTGGAATGGGGAATACTTGTGTAAAGTGTAGACAAGTCAAATGTTTTAATACTATTGCAAGATGAGAGAGTCTTAGATTGTATGTATTCTAAAAGATCTTTGGAATTTTTTAGTATCCACATCTGATTCACGCCACCTCTAGAATAGGCAGTTTCACAATAACTTTGGAGCCCGGCTTTGATTGCTGATAAAATAGATGTTAATAATTTAGAAAGAGGTTTCGTGGAGCGTTTCATGGAGCACTTTAAAGACCTAGCAATATACCGTTGTTTGTAAGGGCACTTATGTAGTTTAGGTATCCAATACAGTGATGGAAGATCCAGTTCTTCACCTTTGGTTGAAATTCCAAAGGAACATAGAACAGACCTATGATTATCCAGGATTTCCTCTTTGGTAAGTGTCGTGAGGGTATATGTTGAGTTTCCAAATGAATTGTCAATACCTAATTCATTTATCAAGCAGTCTATGTAATGATATTTACACACAAAAACGATGTTGTTTGGGGCTTTATCTGCGGGGACAACAACATATTTGTCATGGAAGTAGGACAAGTGGTTTGCAACATTTGGGTCTTTAAAAATTGACGTAGCGTGGGTATTGATAAACTCATTTAGTTTCTTAATTCGGATTTGTATCAACGACCTCACAGCCTTAATCCATTCTGAAAGAGTATCTACGTCTTTTTTCTCGCGTTTAGCCCATTACCTGGCATAATCCTCGACTGAATCCATCAGTACTTTGAAGTTGTATTTCCAATTGATGGATTTAGGCTTACTATATTTCGGACCTTTAGATAACAAATTTCGCAGAGATGTGTTATTGACAATGTTGAGGTCTCCGGTAATAACGTGGCCAGCCGGATTATATGTGAATTGGGAACTAGCACAGGTGCAATCAGGAGGTTTAGACTTGAAGTCGTCCATGTTGAGATCCTGCAAAACGTGTTTGTAATTGAAAATTTTAGTTGCAATTGGTTTGGTATAGGTTTAAGAAATTATTGGTATAGACAGATCTTTAAAATAAGGAGGTATTTTCGACTGAACTAATTTATGATGAAGTATATTGCCTAAGTTGACGCCATCGAGACTTTTGTTGACAAAGGAAAGTTTAAGAAAAGATCTTTTCTCTTTTTCATCTTTTCCAATGCGAACTGGTTTGAAAAGTCTGTGACTTGCAATATCCGAAATGATAGCTGTAAGTTTGTATTGGTTTGAATTAGGGTTTGTAACAGTGGTTTCGAAACATAAATTGAACAGAGAATGAAGTTTTGAAAGGGGTAATAAATAAAGTTTCGTGCGAATGTGATGAATATCTAACGGCTTTTGTATAAATGGCAGCAAGTCATTAATAGAGACATCATGCAAAGTAGGTGATGTATAATGACGATGACCATGACTGCGTCTACGTCGAGGAGTAGAGTTGAATATATTCATCGCATTCATCGAGCTACAGGAAGGACTAGATAGAATACCTATACCATCAATTGTGTCATTGCAATCATATGGTGTCGCAGTTCCCAATTGTCGAATCCAGTAGTCCTCTTTTTGTCTACGGAGAGGCGTTGCAAGCTGAGGATTGTTAGTCTTGTGGTATATTTTTTCGATAATACGAACTGTCATAGAAACGATGGAATGATCAGGCTGATTAAAATGCTGGTACAGAATGTCGTTTGCATTGAGGTTGATATCTGATTGCTAACATCCACTCCATTTGAACTTGGGTTGATAGTTGTCTCATAGGCAATCATACCACATCTCCCTATTTTTAAAGTGTGGAATGATAAAGTACAAATTGAGTCTAACCATCCTACAAAATTTCAACAGAATCCAACAGCCGGTCTAAGGAGAGTTGCATCCAGAAAGTATTCATATAGTTTCAAATGCACAA